GAAGAGCATTTAAGCTCTTCGCGAACCTTCTTAAGTTTAGAGGACTAGTAGGCCTATATAGTCTAGCTAGACTCTTTTTTACGGCAGGTCTATTTAAGTTCCTAGCGGGTTTAGCTAAGTTCGTAGGTAAGAGAGGCATTCTCCTAATATAGCGATATGTTTTCGGATTCCTAGGAGTCGGCGAAGTAATATACGTCGGTTAGGAACTTATACTATAGGTCGGGATAGTCGTAGACATGTTAAATAAAAACCTTAAGGTTATCTAGGAGAATAGGAGGCGTTAGGCGCGAGGTCATCGTAGGGTAGTTAGCGCGATAGGCGCGCTACGTAGGTATATAAGGTCTACGTAATGTTAAGGGGCGAAGTCGGGAATAGGTAATAGTACGTAGATACGGGTCTAAGCTATATAACGAGACGTAGATAAGGAGACAAAGAGGTAATAGGGAGGAGTTGCAGAAGGTAGTAAGCAGTCTTAGCAACTCCGCACGGCCGCTTAGTAAGCGGCTAGCCAAGGTCAGGGTCACCCTGGCGGCTAGGGGTCATGGTTAGGTATAACTAGACAGCTAACCATAACAATATCGTTTTAATTAGCCCTAGGCTACTTCCTATTATAACTACGCATCTACTAATCCTATCCCTTACTAAGGCATTAGTATAGAGGATAGTAGTATTATATCCTTACTCTTAATTAAGGAACTCCTTTATACGACTTTACTCTACCTCTAGACACTACTTAGCTTAGTCTTTCTAAGGTAGGGTAATCTAGGTCTATAGGGGTATTAGTGTTAGACCTCCCCTTAGGCTATACTATTTTCTATAGAGCCCCTATATCTCCTATAATAGTAACTCTTATATTATAGCCCCCTTTTATATGTCCTATATATACTATCGAAGTAGGTTACTCTTATGTAGCGATGTTAGACTAGCTAAGTATGCTACTACCTTTCTTACGAGTCTCTCTCTAACTAGCTCTAGGCTCGCCTTAGCTTTAAGGATCTATAGTATAACGCCGTTAAAGGCCCTTAGTATAATCTTAGCTCCTATCTTCTATACTCTCTCGACGCGACTAACTAGCCTTAATATCCCTCGTCTAGTCTTACTAAACTATAATAATGCTATATAGTTAGTAGTAGGAATTACTACTAACTAATATAGCTACCTTATCTACTTTAGTCTAAGGCCCTTTAGCCTTACTATTACTAGACACTTAATTATTATAGCTATTATTACCCTTTCGATATAAGCATCTATCCTTAGCTTCTAGTCTAGAGTAACCCTAAGGATCTTAACCTTATCTACATTATTAATCTCTACCCTATTAAACTCAAGTAGTAGGCTCTAGAGTAGCTTTCCTAGCTATCGCGAGAAGTGCATAAACCCTATCTTTTCTACCTTAAATATAGCCCTACTCTCCCTTACCTATACTTTAGCCTTTAGAATAACTATATGCTATAGTTTCTAGGTGTTTAGCTCTATAGTAGGGCCTACTACCTATATAGTGTAGTCGTTAATAAATCCGATTAATCTACTATACTAGTTATTAGCTTATTCGACTAGATTAGCATTATATAAGATATAGAGAATAGGCAATAAGGGTAATCCTTATAGGATTACGGCGTATTAGATCTATATCGTCTTTAACTTATACTATCCTACTACTACTAATGCTATCTAGTTAGAGTAGAAGCTATAGACCTATCCTACTAGCTCTACTAGTATCTATTGTTATTACATTCTTTTATATAGCACTCCTAGGTAGATGCTATTAAACGCTCTTTAGACGTCAAAGGTAACTAGGGATAGCACCTTACCCCCTCTCTACGCCTTATAGATCTATTCGACAATTATATCTACTACTTACTTACTAGACCTCTTTAGCCTACCTCTAAAGTAGTTCGTAGGGATATATTAGGGGGGGTAGAGTTAGGAATAGGTAATAGTACGTAGATATAGGTCTAAGCTATATAACAAGACGTAGATAAGGAGATAAAGAGGTAATAGAGAGGAGTTATAGAAGGTAGTAAGTAGTCTTAGTAACTCTATACGGCCGCCTAGTAAGCAGCCGGCTAAGGTTAGGGTTACCCTAGCGGCTAGGGGTTATAGTTAGGTGTAACTAGATAGCTAACCGTAATAAGTAGCTTAATTACGAAGAGGAAAGTATAATATAGTCTAGGAGTAAACGAGGGTAAGAGGAGAGGATAGTAAGGGAGAGCAGATGCGCTAGTTTCCTACTCTATGCTCGTGTAATATAAAGTAACGGAGGTACTAAGAGATTAATAACGTAGATATGTGCAGATATTATGTATTGTTTTCGTAGCGACTACAATCGTTAGGAGTCTATAGACTTAGAGTTAGGAGTCTACTATATTAGAGCGGTGCTAGTAATATGTTAATAAAGATCTAGAGAAAGAACAGTTAGTAAATGTAGGTTGCATGATTCGCCGCAGACATGCTGCTCTAACGAAGAAGTACTAGCGTCTATAAGTTGCGTCTAGATGAGTTAACGAAGGGACAAGTCGAAGTTAAAGCAGTACAAGCTAGGCCGCAAGAGCGATTGACTCTTACCGCTTGGTGCGAAGGCGATTAGGGCATGATTCTTCCTGCTAGATTAGTAGATATTGTTGAATTGAAACACACGAATGTGTAGCTCGAACTTGGACATGACGGCGAAAGTCCCTGAGCAGAGTTGTGTAGTGGCCAGGTGAGGAGGTCGAATTCAAGGCGTATCATGTCGTGGATTGGACATGCCGAAGCCTGCAAAAAGGTCATGGAGGTATCTGAACGATCCAGTACCAGAGACATGCTGAGTAGCGCATGTGGGACCATCTCCAAGTAACGAAAAGGGCAATCTGTCCCTGACTGTGTCGTATAGTAACAAGATAAACTGAAGGAGGGATTCGGAGAGTCGTAGACCAGCTTGGTGCTTCTTGGCCATGCGCATCGATGATATCTTTGCAAGTGGCAGATACTCCAACATTCACTGTCGTATGCTTGATGCCCCCACGATATGGTGGAATAGGTATGGAGATCCAGTGATTCATGCGCGACAGTAGCGTGGCGGGAGAATGACTGCATCATTTGTTGTGGTCATGGGGTAGATGGCGAGCCACGATGGATGCGAGGGTAATTGGTGTGTTGATGGAAGGTACATCCTGAAGCTGGTATCTTAGGAACAGCTTGGTACATGGGTAGGGATGTCAGATGTTGTGGTGGGAAGAACCACTGCAGGAGACAATCTGGCACTTTTCAAAGTCAGCGAGAACAAAAACATGGAGAGCAAGAGTGACTAACCAAGGATTGAAACGCGGATGGAGCCGTAAGGCAGGCAGAAGAAGACGTGGTTGAGCTCTAATGAGCGGCTCAGTCGAGTTGTACAAGCAGAGCCTAGAGCATGTCTTGTGTGCGAGCCTGAAAGAATACCTCAAAGCTGGGTATAGGCGAATCTCGAAGTTCGGATGGAGTGGAGAGAGTAGGCGACGCTTCGGCGGACCCTCATCAATGTCACGGGAAGCAGAATGAAGCTTGTAGAGACTCGGGCGACAAAGGAATGAGGCGACCGACCGTCGGAGACGAAACGTAGGAGATGGCGGGAGTTTGGCGGATCAGGAGAAGGAATGGAGCGTAAGCACGCATTGTGATGGAGGGTGGTGAGCATGGCAAACATAGATTTGCTTCTGAGAGTAGTGACGAAGCATAAGTTTCCTAAGAAACGCAGAGCAAGAGACTGCCATGATGAGGCCAAGTCCGGACCCTCGAGGGGCTGAATAAAATTGTAGCAATGGCGGCAGAAGGAAAGAGCAACGCGTGTACATGGTGGGAGGAATGAGAGACCTGCGGGTCCACGAAGTGTGTGTGTGCAGATAGTTGTCGGGTTCTCGGTCGTGAATGAACGTATGGTAAATCGTGATTCGTGAAGCCTCGTTGGGGACTGTGAAGCCTAGGTTGGAGGGAAGAGCTCCTGGCTAAGTGGAGAAGAGAAGAGCCCCTGACTGAGTGGTGAGGAGAAGAGAGGAGTTCAAAGATGGGTTGAAATTGGTGAAGAGATGAATAGCTGGAACGTTAGTGGGGTTAGTAATTGGGACGCTTGATCGAGTCCTCAAGCATTCACCGCCATGCTTCGCTGTTAGTTGTTTACGAGAACTCGCCAGACTCCTGCTCGACCATTGTTACACTCCTCACTCAGGAGGATGACGCGCCTCCTATGCGAGACTCAGAGTCGATCGAGCCCTGATGGAACTCTCGGGGGTGTCTACCTCCGTCCCGGAATTTTCTTCCTCCGCAAGAACTTTGAAGTCTATCGTCGTATCCCCCCTACGACCAAAACAAATCCCGCGGGTTTCGGCACACAGCCTGCGGAGACGGTGCTAGAGGCATGATAGTTTCTGGGGGCTCTTCGGGGCCCCAGGATTCCCCATTTATAACCCTCGAGGTTTGTTTGCACCTCTTTTACACTTCCATTATTCTTGACCAACATGACCTTCCAACTGCTTAAGTCTCACGGTGATGCCTTGTTGGTATTCCAGACCATCTTTGTCGTTGCCCCTTCTTTCATCCTATATGGCTACAACTTGTCTGGCCTCGGCGGCCTAGTCAATCTCTCCACATGGGCCTCAACATTCTCTGAGATTGACACAGTCTTCACCACTGGCGCCACCAAGACTCATGATACAACCATCCAAGGTGTTGTCGTCGCTTGCTTTACACTCGGTGCCATCGTTGGTTCCTTCAGCTGCACCTTCTTTGGCGACACCTTTGGTCGGAAGAAGCTGATGTTCAGTGGAGCACTTTTCACGCTCATCGGCACCATTCTCCAAGCCAGTTCGTTTAGTCTGGCGCAGCTTATCCTTGGACGTATCATCCTCGGCAACGGTGTCGGGCAACTGAGCGCCACCGTGCCTGTATGGCAGAGCGAATGCTCGAAGCCGGGAAGTCGAGGCAAACACGTTATCATGGACGGCGTCTTTATGACTGTCGGCTACTTCCTCGAGTCCTGGATCAACCTTGGCTTTTACTTCACCTCTGGTACAACCGAATGGCGCGCTCCGATCGCCATCTCTGCGTTCTTCTCCCTCGTGATCCTTGCTTCTGTTTTCTCATTCCCCGAGTCACCCAGATGGCTGGTCCGAATGAATCGCATCGACGAGGCTCGCTCTGCACTGAGTCGTTACAAAGGTGAAGATGAACAGTCGGATGCTGTCGCTGCAGAGCTCTCTGCGATTGAAGCGGCTTGCGAAGACTTCCAGACGCAAAAAGCAAGCCTGGGCGAGATGTTTACAATGGGTGAAGAGAAACTCGCTTATCGGTTCGGACTCTGCATGTTACTGCAGTTTTTCCAACAGATGTGCGGCTCCAATCTCGTCTCTGTGTACTCGACTATCATCTATCAAGAGAACCTCGGACTGAGCAGCATCACGGCACGAACATTGTCGGGAGGTATGCTCACCTTCAAGCTTCTATCCTGCTCCGTCGCTTTTTGGAGCATCGACAGGCTCGGTCGCCGCGCTTGCTTCATGATCAGTGGCGCTGGTATGGGATCTTGTATGGTAGCGCTCGCAGTGGCAACTTCTTTCAAAGACAACTACGGAGCATCTATCGCAGCCGCCTTCTTCTTGTTCTTATTCTGCTTCTTCACGCCCATCGGATTCTTAGGTGCCAACTTCCTGTACTGCACAGAGGTTAGTTGCTTTCTTCTCATTCCCGTTCTACTTCTTTACGCCTATTGGATTCTTAGGTGCTAACTTCTTATAAAGGTCGCACCCTTGAGACTCCGTTCGTCTATGTCTTCCATCTCCACAGCAAACCATTGGATCTGGTAAGCCTTTTGTTTCGCGCAATGATTGAACAATCACTAACAAATCGTCATAGGAACTTCGTAGTCAACATGGTGACGCCCATCGCAATTCGCACGATTGGTTGGAAATATTATCTCGTCTCCGCATGTATTGGAGCAATCATCCCTGTCGTTGTCTTCTTCTATTTCCCAGAGACAAAAGGTCGCACGCTAGAAGAGTTGGATATCATGTTCAAGCAGGTCCCCTCGATAAGGGAAATCGTTAAGGTCTCGCAGCAGCAGCGAATCATCTACGATGACTATGAAATCCCGAACGGCAAATCTGGGATCGAGATGAAGGAGGATATTGATGACAGTGAGAAGGTCTGAGGGTGATAGATAGCCTAGGTAGAAATGAGATCCAGGTTGCCACATAGGTGAAGCAAGTCACAAGTTCCGCAGCCAACGAGACTCATCCTGCATGATTGAAACTCCCCTGGATACTCTCCCCTGGATACTCAATATGTTGAAACTTGTTGTAGCTGGCATTGCTCAACATTGCGCTCGCTGAGTCTTTCCCTTATAGTCGCACAAACACAATCACAGCAGCATTTTCTGCTGCGGTGGAGGTATGAACAGCCTGTTACATGCACGTCGGAAACATTGAGATTTCTCCAAGGTCACTATCTTTCACGTGAAGATTCAGGAGCTGTAACGATGAACTCGTGACTGGTGTTGGCTATGTAAAGCTGCAATACATGCTGAGTTTTCACGCCTGAACCTTCTTGCTAACGATGTTTTGGATCTCTTCGCAGACTGCAGCAGTAACTTCCTTGGTGTTTGCCTTGCCACCAAGATCCGCAGTCACGATGCCCTTCTCGCATACTTTCTCAACTGCGTCGAGCAGATACTTCGCTGCCTCGGCCTCACCAATCCAGTCGAGCATCTCAGCGGCAGTCCAGAACGTCGCAACAGGATTGGAAATACCCATGCCTGTGATATCAAAAGCAGAACCGTGAATTGGCTCGAACATACTGGGATTCTCGCGGGTGGGATCCAAGTTTGAGGTTGGAGCAATACCAATGGAACCGGCAAGTGCGGCTGCGAGATCAGAAAGGATATCGGCGTGCTGCTCATGGTTAGCTCATGTCAAGAGAGGACACGCGAACGGTAAGAGAATAGATGGAATACTCACCAAGTTAGTGGCGACGATAGTATCCAATGACTCGGGCTTCATGACCATGCGAACAGTCATCGCGTCTACGAGCATCTTGTCGACGGTAACATCAGGGAATTCTTGTGCGACCTCATGGGCGACCTCATCCCACATGACCATGCCGTTTCTCTGAGCGTTACTCTTGGTCACGACGGTCAATAGCTTGCGTGGGCGCTTCTGAGCCGTCTCAAAGGCAAAGCGAATGATGCGCTCGACACCGTGTCTGCTGAAAATAGAAGTCTCGGTCGCGACCTCCCAAGGCTTGCCACGATGGGAACGTCCACCCTGTCCGGCGTATTCACCTTCGCTGTTCTCGCGAACGATGACCCAATCGAGATCACCAGTCGACGCATTGCGAAGAGGTGACTGGGTACCACGGAAGATGCGTGTAGGGCGTACGTTGGCGAACTGCTGGAATGGCTGGAAGATGGCGAGTCTCAATCCCCAAAGAGAGATGTGGTCAGGCACGTCGGGAGCACCGACAGCTCCGAAGAGAATAGCATCGTGTTTCTTCAATTGCTCCAAGCCACCATCGGGGATGTATTTGCCTGTCTTCTTGTAGGTTTCACTGCTCCAATCGTAGTTCACAAAGTCCAGCTTGAAAGTGCCCAGCTTTTGGCTCAACGATTTGAGTACTTCAACTCCAGCTTCAACGACTTCAGGGCCGATGCCATCTGCGGGAATTGTGGCGATGCTGTACGATGAAGTTGCCGGAAGTGCTGAGGGAGACATGGTGGCGGTTGCGTGTGGTGGAGGCGACTGTCTTGAAGGAAGCAGGAATGTCAGGAAACGATTGACTGCTACAGTGAGTTACTGGAAGCAAGAGTAGTATTTCAACCCAGGATTGCGGAACATCAGAAGTCCGGTGAGAGGGGTATCCCGGGACGGTGATCGGACTGCGATGTCCAAATTCTCGACGGACTGAAGATGTCCGTTCCACTCCACTATGCGTGTGACATGTTCAATTACTGTCATTGTATCACGCGAGGTGTGGGTGGCTGCGTTCGACGACAACTCAGATCGATTGCGTTGCGGAGTTTTCATTATCCGCAAAGAAACTTTGCGCCACTTCTCAGGCCGCCAACGGCTGCATCCGAAAACAAGTTAGGATACGGACGTTTATTCATCCACTACTAGCACCCTTGTGGATTATCAGAGATAGTATAAACAGAAGCCAAGTCAAAAGTCGATATCATTTTGACAATACAGGCAACAAATTCCCTCAGCTACTCACCGTTCACACCCTCTGACATGCCTTCGACAATCGCTCATACACCTTGCCCCACGTGTCGCATCGGTATAAATGGGTTTGGGAGAATAGGTGGGAACCAGAGAGCAAACAGCGTTCGGTCTCATCTGACAACTTGCAGGCAGAAACGTCTTTCGAGCTTCGCTACTTCGGTCCGATGTTGTCGTTGTGGCCATCAATCATACCTGCGACTCTATCAAAGATCTAATCTACCTGATCAAATTTGATTCGACCCATGGTACACTTGCCAAACTTTTCGGCTCAGACGTGCAGCTAGATCCACTGCCAAATGGAAATCTGGTCGTCAACGGCAGGGAGATCATCCTCCACTCTCAACGCGACTTGTACAAGCTTGACTGGGCTGCGTCTGGCGTCGACTACGTCGCAGAATGTACTGGTAAATTCAAGACCACCGATCTGGCATCAATCCATACAACACATGGCAAAGCGCGAAAAGTCCTAATCTCCGCCCCAAGTCCCGATGCTCCGACCTTCGTGTTCAAAGTCAATTCGCACGAGTATGACTTGCACAGAAATCTCAGCGTCTTTTCTTGTGCCAGCTGTACGACCAATTGTCTAGCTCCCATTGCAAAGGTCATCGATGACAACTTCGGCATAGCGCAAGGCTTCATGACAACTGTCCATGCATCCACACAGTCGCAACATGTTCTGGATGGTTATAGCAAGAAGAACAAAAGAGCCGGTCGCTCTGTCATGGGTAACATCATCCCAACAACGACAGGTGCTGCTCAAGCCATCAAGATTGTCTTGCCACAGCTGAAGGGAAAGCTGTCAGGTACCTCGATCAGAGTGCCGGTGTAAGTTGACTCAAATTCTTGGAAAGAGAAGTCAGAAATATACTCACACTCTACCACCAGGGCGAATGTCTCCATGGTAGACCTCACCATCAATACTGATACTGTAACTTCCTTGGATGAAATCCTCCGTGCATTGAGACACGCAAGTGAGACCTATCTTTCTGGCGTGCTTTGCGTCACGGATGATGAGGTCGTAAGCTGCGACCTGCTTGGCCATAATAGCAGTGCCATAATTGACAGTAAAGCATCGGTCGAACTCAACTCGAAGGTATGCCTCCTAAAGATATAGCAAATTGCAACAACCACGGGGCTGACGACTGTGCAAGTTTTTCAAAATTATCGCTTGGTACGACAACGAGTGGGCTTATTCGTGTAGATTGCTCGATATGCTTCATATGATGGCTGCCTCTGACGCAGCTGTCGAAGATCCATAGGATAGCTCACGGCAGGCATTGAGCGATCAGAATGGTCTTTCTAGATCTTGTAATGAATTGTTGTCCCATGTCTCAATTGTAGTTACATAGATGAGTTCGTCCTACAACCGACGAATCATCACAATCTCCATCCGATATGAATCGTCACCTGACAGCCGACCTGAATAAGTCACCAGGACACAACGTGTTTGCAGCCATTTTAACCAGGGGGGCCTACCCTCGGGGTCTGATCCATGCTCACGATGGTTCCCTAATCTGCTCGTCTGTCTTTCCCCTTCTTTTGCGCCTGACTCCAGCTGATCCCCACTCCAACGGACTTGGTATTCTCCAGTCTAAGTGTCCACGCGGATGAGCGACAGTCCCCGAGGGCCGGACAAACGATGTCCGGGTAACCCTAATCAACAGCAGCCACAAAAGATTCCAGACCAGCTGAAGGACCCACTCATCACCCCATTGTGTACCTCCACAGTTTAGATCTAGGATGCGGAGATGTCTGGGGTCGTAGGAAGCGGGGATGCAGATCATCTGGTCTTCGTGGCAAAGGTATAAAGTGTATCGAGACGAACCATTCTACTCGATGAAGATCAGACATCAATACTTTCCTCACTACATCATTCATTCTACCCCAGCTCAATATATACAAGTCATACCATGTCTGACGATAAGAAGCATGTGGATGCAGCTCACATCGAGCAGGTCGATGTGCTCAAGGAAAGTCTTGGTCAAGACCTTGACTACTCCGGTGCTGTCAGCAAGTCTGACCCTAAGGAGATTGCTCTCGTCAGGAAACTCGATTTTCGCATCATGCCCACTCTATGGGCAATGTACTTTCTCAACTACCTCGACAGAAACACGATTGCACAGGCTCGACTTGACAACCTTGAGTCGGATCTTGGGCTCGAGGGCAACCAGTATAATACTTGTATCAGCATTCTGTTTGTTGGGTATGTTTTCGATTCTTCAATCCTTGTGCAATCATTCGCTAACTAATGAACAGATACTTGCTCATGCAGATTCCATCTAACATGATCATGTCGACTGGAAAGGTTCCTCCTTCCACTTATATGGGAGTGTGTATGATGGTCTGGGCTGTCGTTTCGGCCTGTACTGCTCTTGTTCACGACTACAAAGGTCTTGTCCTTGTTCGTTTCTTCCTCGGTATCGCCGAAGCTCCGTACTATCCTGGTGCACTCTTCATGCTTTCCCTCTTTTACACTCGAAAAGAGCTTGCAACGCGTCTTGCCATTCTCTACTCCGGCAACATCATCGCTACCTCTGTTTCTGGCTTGATCGCAGTCGCCACTTTCAACACCCTCAGCGACGTCCACGGTATATCCGGTTGGCGCTGGTTGTTCATCATTGGTAGGTCTACAATCAGGCACTTGACAGTAACACAAGAGCTGACAACCGTCCAGAGGGCTCGGTGACCTTCGGTATTGCGATCATCAGTATCATCCTCCTTCCAAACCACCCGCTCAAGACCACCTGGCTCACCCCGGAAGAGCGCGAATTAGCTCACCAACGTATCGTCCGCGATACAGTCGGGATGGAAGAGAACAAAGGAGCTAGAGCCGGCTTCATGCAAGCGATTCGCGACCCTCGCCTTTACCTATTCTGCTTGATGCAGAACCTGCACTTGAGCGCTTGTGGTTTCAACAATTTCTTCCCCACTGTGATTGGAAGTCTCGGATTCAGCCGTACAATCACTTTGGTCTTGACCTGCCCTCCATACCTCGTCTCTGGTGTGGCCGGTGTCGTCGTTGGCTTGACTTCTGGCAAGTTGAATGAGCGAACCTGGCACATCACCCTCTCCATGGGCATCGCAGCGGTCGGGTTCATCATCTCTTGCATCACGCTCAACACTGGTGCCAGATATTTCTCCTGCTTCTTGTTTGCTTCTGGTGCCTATGCCGTCAACTCTGTCATCCTTGGCTGGGTATCTGCGACTCTAGGCCAGACAAGAGAGAAGAAGGCTATCTCACTGTCGATTGTGAATGTCGTTGCAAATGCTTCTTACATCTACACGCCTTATTTGTACCCCAAGACTGATGGCCCAAGATATCTTACCGCCATGTCGGCAAACACTGCGTTTGCTGTCGGGACCATTGCTTGCGCCTGGGGTTTGAGGATCTGGCTCATCCGAACCAACAAGAAGAACAGAGGCGATGGAGTAACATCTGCCCTTGCTTATGCTTACTGATGCTCGGAAAGGGGGGCCTTAGGGCGGTGATCAACGCAGAAGGGGGTGGAAGACATGTTTAGCTAGGCCTCGGGGCAGGGAGGGCTACTTGGCGCTTTTGTCTATCATCTTCACTATATGTTTCAATTTTGTTCTATTGAGTTCCTGGCAGACATATTAGGGGCAATGAGAGTGGGCCCAGCTTGACTGGTATCTTATTTCGAACTCACGTTGCACATCAACACACATAATTTCTCCCAAACCCTGCGGTCGCAACTGCACGCTTGTCTTCCATTACAGACCAAAGTAGTTGATCTAGAGTCATGATAATGACCAGTTTCATCCTCCCTGACAAGAAATGGATGGCTTTGCGAAGGTGGAGAGGCTGAAGCTATTCGCCGTATTCTAGTCGTCAATTTGTGATCATGGAAGACGCTGTTCCGTCGCGTGGGTTTGAGAAGATTTTATTGACGACTGTCGAAGGAGAGCAGCCGGTCTCCGAAACCATTCTCGAACCGGCGATCGTCTCAGAGCAGTGATTCCTGCCTGCGACAGCTTGACGGATCCGAGATGAATACCTTGACCGATGTACAAGGACAAAATCATCTGGGTCGACGTAGAAGTCCTCTCTTCACCCAAGCGATAGGAATACAAGCAGGAACCTCGAATTTTCTTGTGCTAAGTATATCTGTTATTCAGTCGCTACTGCTCTTCGAGAAGGTACAAGGCAACTAAACAAGGCCTTCGTGCACTGTTAGTCCAGACACAAATCCTGCAGCTGCGGTACGGTGTTCAGAAGGCGCAAACCAGGCGTAGGCTCTCCTTCATCAACTAAAACTCTACTTGCGGTTCGCAACCTTCTGCAGGAAGCGCCAGCAGATCAAAGTGGGTGGTTTCGGCGATGCAGGGCAATTTCTCGATGAAGTCAGCTTCGTGCATATTCCGTCCGATCGCAGGAAGTCGGTTCACAGCATGCGATAGGAAATGGTCTTGAGAGTGTCAAAAGTGCTATCGACGAGCGCCTCCATGCTTGATTGCCAAGAGAAGATTGCTGGCGCGATCCGATTTCTGTGAAGGCTGCGCGTATATGGTGTCGTTTGTTCAAAGGCCGAGACTGCGAGACAGAGGCGCGATCTCTGATTGTTCGAGGCTAGGCTTCTTCAGCTGATGCTACTGCAATAATGGACCCTTGCTAAGGATGGGTCGGGCGGACTTGGCTCCGTTGATCCTATTCTCAGTGGGTAGTATCGTACCACCGACCAATCAATCTCATCTGACATTGATGGGAAGTCCCTTTGTAGACGACTAGCGAGAATAACAAATACTCTGGTCATCTTCATCTGTCTCAGTGTCTACAACTCTCTCTCGTTTGTAAGTTCCGCTGTCAGACGTTGAGCCCGGGAGACTCAACGATACACTCTTCGCCATCCCCCTCGCGACCGACACATGTGATCAGAGGAACCATCGCTTTCGACAGAGCAAGGTCACGGCATAGTCGAGCAGGCGGTCAGCCATGAGTACGGTTGGCACAAGGATACGTCGTTCCTCATTTGCGTCATCCACGACAGATGAAGCGGTCGCCGACGACTCTAGTCACGATGCGATGGCTCCAATCATCACCGAAACTGGATTCATCATTCCTGCTTCTGCCCGACCCATCATAGACGCCCTTGCTAGAAAGTCTGGGTCGTTCAAGCTGCATCAGCGAACAGTCATAACTATCGATACGATCACCAAGAGCGATTTGGAAAGCTCACCAGAAGACCCGGAACCCGATATTGAGACAGTTGTGACCTATGCGCCGGTCGACCTCTGCTCAACTCAGCGCTTGTCTTCGTCTCCATACGATTCTATGCCATTCTCCAGTGGAATCAAAGCCAATCACTGCGCAAAACACGTACAGGATGTGCAATTGGCCAATTTAAGCACAGCTCCATGGATGGTTCAAACAGCCTGGATGGCCGAATATGAGATTCCTGAAAGCCCTTCCCGATGGGCGAGTGCTTCATTCATCGGCATTCGCCATAGAGCGCGGCTGATGATTGCAAACGAAGCACCACTAGAATCAATAATCGGACCTACCTCACTGCACAGGCTCCTTGATGACCGCGTTAGAGATCCAGACCTGCAATGGAATGTATCCGACTGGGCGCAAGATTTCATGAGCAATTTTCCACACATGGTATGCATACAAACTATTGCAACCTTTGCTTACGCTTTAATGACATAAAATCCTGGCAGAATATCTCAGATAAAGTCGCATGTTGGGCAATTCTATGGAAGGTCCTTCGATGGCAGACCTTCCAATCAAGAGCGACTTTCGAACAAGTACCCGGATGGTGTCGGCCCAGTCCTTCGGAAATGTTTTGTCCGCACATGCCTATCATCATTTGTCTTGCATGGCCCAAACTGCGTCGTTTCTTCGTCGAACAAGCCAGTAATGCAGACTGGGTGCAAGCTGTTATGGGCAGTATTTCGGTGTCGTGGCCGTATGGCGAAGAGACGGTCTTCAAGACCGAGGCGAATGGCGCCCTGGCGATGAGCGACGCTTTTGAGGCTTGGATCAATGATGGCAGTAACTGGTCATTGAGCGCTGCCTCCGCTAGAGCCATGATTGGTATTGAAGGTAGAGCGCGTGTAAGATGAATGAAGCATTGATGGTGATGTTTCGAGAGAAAACTGTAAACTCCCATCATAAGCTTTTGTGCAATTCAGATTTATGAATTTCGAAAGTTGTGCTCCAATGCGGGTGACATCCTTTGGGATCAACGTGGGGAGATCTGCCATGCATAAGATAGAGTTGCCGACCACAGATCCAGGGTCTTTTCTCCGTTCGTAGAACCACGGGCAAGCAGGAATTGAATGAAGATCTCGTTGGATCGCATTGCCGTGCCGTCGGCTCCGGATTTTGGGATTGACCTGTAGCCATACCCAAAAGATAAACTAGAACAAAAAGAGAGGGGAAACAAGATTGGTTCGAACAAAAGCTGCAATTGCGTTTTGGTTGTATGGAAAGATATACACTACTTTTCCATCTCGTCTCACCTCACTTCCATTCATCTCATCATCATGCTTTGTTGAGAAAGCAATCCCTTCCACCAACTAAATCGCTGCAAACAATGCCAGCCGTTAGATCATAAAAGTCATATCACGCTTACTGAGAAGCGAAACCAAGCTGAGGAGTCGAGTTCTCCATGGAGAAGACAACGAACTGAGCCTTGAGGAAGATGTCACCGAAAATGGAGAAGCCGATGCCAGAGTTGGATTGGATACCACCGTAGCACTGAGTGGAGGTGACCTGAGCATAGTTGATGTAGCTGCCGGGAACGACGAACTTCTTGCCACCAATGACGGCGGAGAAGCTGGGGAGAGTGGCAGAGCAGGAGAAGATGTAACCACCCTGAGTGTCGTCGTACTTGGCACCAGAGACCTTGGCGTAGTAGGCGTTGACAATGGCGTCGGGGAGAAGCATGAGGGTGGTGCCGGTGTCAGCAATGGCGGAGTAAGAGCTAGAAACAGTGGCACCGCTGCCGATGGAGTAGCCGGTGGTAGTGAATTGCCAGAAACCGTTGGCAGTGTTTACGGGGACGTAGGTAATGGCACCAGTGTACTTGGAGGTGTCAATGTAACCGAAGTCGTAAGAACCGGGGCCACCCTTCTTCAGGTCGACGGTGAAGAGCTTGCGAGCAAGAGTGCTCTTGACCGAGTCGAAGAAGGTGGTCTGCTGGTCAGGGCTGACGGTGTTGATGGACGAGAAGGCAAGTCCAAGAAGACCATCGTTGTCAGTGTCCTGCTGGAACTGGGCGGAGATGGAGGTGGCAGCCTCAACAGCCTGGGAAGTGGCAGTGACACCACCGACAACGACCTTGTCGGCGTAGACCTGGCCAGAAGCACCAGAACCATCACCGTAGCTGATTCTCCAAGACTCGCCAGTGAGCTTGCGGCCGGTGGCGGTGTTATAGACGGCGTGGCCCGTTCTCTGGGAAGAAGCCTGGAGAGTGGAGAAGACCCAGAGATCAGAAGAACCAGTGTCGAAGTCGAGGTTCAAGGTGGTGCCACCGACAGAGACGGGGCAGAGGTACTCAGAGTCACCGTTGTAAGAGTTGGCAGTGACGGAACCACTCTGCTGAGCAGCGGCGGCAGCAGCCTGAACGACAGTGGGGGGAGTACCGTTGTACTTGTGGATGGCCTTGGAAAGAGCGAGAGGAGGAGCTGCGACCTTGGTGTTGCCGGTAGAGACCTGAGGGACAGAGAACTTGATGTTGGCTCTGGGCTCAATGGGCGAGGCAACAGCCACAGCCGCAACAGCAGCGAGGGCAGCGAGAGTTTGCTGCATGATGGAAGATGGAAGAGATGAGAAGAGGAAGTGAGTGAGTGATGATGATGATTGTTCTTGTCGAGGAGAAGGACCTCGTTATATATCGTGGCCATCTCAAGCATCTCATGGTGTTGCTCGGCTCAAGTGCGAGCAGTGGTCGCCTCCTGAGTCCCGCTCGGTCTTGTGAAGATGGTTGCATACCTTGAACGGCCAATGGTGTTGTAGAAAGACGCTTTCCGAGGTTACGGACGAAAGAATAGACGGAAGATGTATGCAGTATTCAACCGCAGCTGCCTTTCCCGTCCTAATCAACGGATTAGCTTCAACGCACAATATTCAAGAACAGGGCAAATAGTAGAATGATAGGCAGATCGACAGACCAAGACTCGGTTGTTCAGTGCGTAGTCGCTTAAACTGCATGTGGCCGGTGTGCTAAGAGCATTGAAGCTATATGCTTGTGCTTGCTAAGGTCATGTAAGCTCAGACTAACAACCGTGGCATGCAGGTCCGTGAGCGTGGTTGCTCGTATGGATTGTGGGGATCTGTAGATCTATCAGTAGATACCAGGCCGAATTCGGAAGCTGGCAATGTTTCAGCGCGTGCACCCTTTTGAGCGCCTCATGTTTTCTGGCCTCGGTATCTTTGTCGGAGTGCTTTCAACTAGCATCTTGTGAAAGTCCGAAGGCTGATAGGTCACCCCCTGATCAAGCGAGGTTGAGCGCAGTGTCGACACTATCCAATCAAAGAAGCGAAAACACGAGCTGGCAATCGCCGCCATATGCAAGAGATGTCTTGTGTAAAGAGTGCGGCCCGCCATGTTGTGACTATCGACAATTGCGCCATCCCCGCACCTTCTCGAATCATGGAAGAAGGGGCGACGTGCGACGGAGGATGGATGAGTGGCGGTCGAGTGCCGGAGCGCGACTCCCAATCTTGACGAGTGCGGTGCAGCAACGGCAGGACCCCTCGGAAGCGTTGGCTCGCCACACTCCGAACGCGCTGTCGACGGTTGCCCTGCAAAGTTCAGCGTTTATGATCACCTCTTTATTCAGGTATCGACAATAAACTCTCACGCCATGATCATGACAGATGGCACCTCAGGGCATGTCGGAGAGTTTCTCTAGAGCGGTGATCTCTTGTGCAAGCAGCTGTGATAACCGAGATGAGGCCGTGTAAATGAAAAAGCTTATCACATTGCGGGCCAGACCGTGATTCCGCCATGACCTTGCGCACGCAAGGAACGCATGACTATCAAACAGTCCAGTTCATGCAAGCCTGTTCATATCGAGGTGAAAGTCAAAGGCCAATCGTCTGAGCATCATGTGCTTCCCAGAATGGCAGGAGCTCGACACGCTCGATATCACGCACGGTTGGGCATACAAGTCCAACGCCTCGTGTGCGAGGTTACTGAGAGTAGTTGAGCACGACATGGATGGCGCGTGGGGGTTTCCGATGAACAATAGTAGCAGATAGCATTCTACGCGACTTGTGGGACGAGGGTGCGGATAAAGAGAAGTAATCATTAGGTAATTTTGCTCTCGTTAGTTTCGTGCAGAGTCAAGACAATCAAGCAGTGAAGGACTGAGCCTTGATGATGACAACATCCTTGAGAGGCTTGTCGCCGTTGTTGGTCTGAACGCTTCCAATCTTCTGAACGACATCCATACCATCGACAACCTGGCCAAAGACGGTGTGCTTGTTGTTGAGATGGGGAGTGGGAGCGAGGCAGATGAAGAACTGACTGCCGTTGGTGGCAGGGCCGCTGTTGGCCATGGACAGGACACCGGCACCCGTGTGCTTGAGCTCGGGGTGGAACTCGTCCTCGAACTTGCCGCCCCAGAGAGATTTACCACCAGTGCCGTTGCCGAACTCATAGTCGCCGCCTTGCAGCATGAATCCGGGAATGATACGGTGGAAGATGACGTTGTTGTACTTGCCAGCATCGGCGAGGCCTGCGAAGTTCTCACATGTCTGTATTGAGTCGTGCGTCAGAGTCTGTCGCATGGTTGCAGCTGACGCGGAAAACTCACCTTGGGGGCCTTGTCGCTGTAGAGGGCGATGGTGATGTTGCCGTAGTTGGTCTCGAGCAGAACACCGGCGGGAGGGCCCTTGGAGGAGGGTGCGCCGGTGGTGGAAGCTGCGGCAGGAGTGCTGTGCTGAGGTGGAGGGGCCGAAGAGGTTGTCGTGGCTGCCGTGTTTCGCTCGGCCGTCGTGTGCGAAGGGCTGGTCGACGACGACGACGTGTCGGACTTGTCGTGCTTGAAGATCTTCTTGAGCTTGTCCATTGTGCTGGGTCGGTCTTCTGGGCGGTATGATTTGGGAGGAGTGTTGGCTGCGTGGAGCATGAGTGATGGTTTGAAGATGGTGAGAGGAAAGCGCTGGGAAGCACAGGAGCTTGCTACGTCATTGTGGCAGTGAACTCAATCCGCTGCATGACGATTGTCATGGCCGGTTCCTTGAATTTGCGAACCGCTCTCACAACGACTTGCAGTACGTCTCGATAATGGCCTGATGCTTCCTCTTCATGATTAGAAGACTCGGAACTCGAAGGAAACAAAGATCCTTCTTTGCTCCAGCTTCTTTCAGGGTTGCGTTCGCCGCACTGACAAGGGCCCGGTCGATCTCCCGTGTGAGCTTGGCCAAGTTCCTCTCCGCTCCGCTCCTCCCCGCCCGCTCCACTCCGCTTGGCAGGAAATCCACGTTGCAGTTCCCGTGACCCTGTTCATTTCGCTATTAACTTTTTCCTCTGCCATCCAAAATCCTGAGTCGTATATAGAAGCACGAAGTACTGCAGCAGATGTAGTGTTGATTCCTTTCTACTTCCTTAGACCTGTTTGACGCAGAACAGCACGATTTCGTGGAAAATGTTCCGTGTCGGCCAAAATCTGCGTTTGCAATTTGTCTCGAATTGCATTTCACATCAAATGCACTTCTAAGCATCGAACAAAGCACAATCGCTTAAGTTTAGGCCGCCTCCATAAGTCTGAGCAGGGAAATCCTGCTCCTGTATCCATACAAAATCCATTCAAGACCAAGTGCATGTTGAAGACTGACCCAAAAGCGCACTCGTGAAAAAACCATCCGAAGCCCCGGTGCCAAATTCCGTTCGAACTTAGCTAACTCCGCAATCTGCGAAAATTCCATCGTCATCTACGCGCTAACTTGCCGATTTCCGCGTTGCCGCATCAGATTCGCACCATTTTCGCGGGGTCGCAGCTCCCTCACCTTCAGATTCTGGTGAAAACTGTACCCGGCTACCGGTCTCAGGATGTGACGGCAACTGTCCTTGGGAAGGGCGCGGAGTCGATTATTCAGCTCCATCATGCCTTTTCTCCTTGCCTTCTCCTCCATCTCCCTCCTCACCGTGTTTTGGCCACAACTTACCACATCACAACAACATGGAACGGCTTGAACGTCTTCTTTCCCGACCGACGGCAAAGCCATACAAGTCAAGAGACATCGAGGCCTCCGAAGAACCATGGCTCAATGAAGACGGCCTGCTTGATTTTTCTCCTGACGATATCGAAAACCCGAAGAACTGGTCCAAGGCTCGCAGATGGTACATCACCGTGGCATCCGTCATTCTCGTCGTCAACGCAACATTCGCCTCATCAAGTCCTTCTGGAACGCTTGAAGGAATCTCGCGAGATCTCCATGTCTCTACTGAGGCTGCCGGACTGGTAGTCACTCTCTTCCTTCTTGGATACTGCGCTGGTCCGCTCGTCTTTGCCCCACTGTCCGAGTTTTACGGTCGCAGATGGATCTTCTACATCACCTTCACTCTCTACCTGGCATTCAACTTTTTGTGTGCTTTCACACCCAACTTTGGCGGTCTTTTGGTCGGTCGCTTCTTGACTGGTACCTTTGCCAGTTCGTCGCTTTCCAATGCGCCCGGTGTCTTGGCCGATATTTGGGGTCCGATCGAGCGCGGAAATGCCATGGCTGCCTTTTCTATGATGACGTTTGTCGGTCCAGCTCTCGGACCTGTCATTTCTGGTTTCTTGGAATTGAAGGAGAACTGGCGCTGGTGTTTCTATGTTCTCCTCTGGCTGGGTGGTGCCACCGAGATCTTAATGTTCACCATTCCCGAGACACTCCCATCGATTGTTCTCCAGAACAAGGCACGGAGAATCAGAGCCTTGAAGATTCCTGGATATGAAAACATCAAGGCGCCTGTTGAGGTCACTGACAGGACACTCGCTTCAATGTTTGCTGTTTCCTTAACTCGCCCTTGGAAGATCTTGGTCGATCCCATCTCTTTCGCAGTCGCCGTCTACCTTGCCGTCGTCTACGCGCTGCTGTACATGCTTTTCACCATTTACCCCATTGTCTTCCAACAAAAGCGAGGCTGGAACTCGGGAGTTGGGGAGCTTCCGCTTATCGGCACTGCAGTCGGTGCCGTTATTGGCGGCTGCATCATCTTCGCCAACTCCGCTCGCGACAGGAAGAAGCTGCTCGCTGGTCACAAGGCAGTTCCTGAAGATCGTCTTCCAGTCGCAATGATTGGCGGTGTCATGTTCCCAATCACCATGTTCTGGTTCGCCTGGACTGGAAACTTCAATAGCGTACACTGGATCGTGCCCACCATCGCCGGCGTCTTCCTTTCCACCTCCATCTTGCTGATCTTTGTCGCCTACCTCAACTACCTCACGGACACATATCTCATGTACGCAGCAAGTGCATTGGCAGCCAACACCGTCGCACGTTCAGCCGCTGGTGCTGCCGCTCCACTGTTTACTCAATACATGTTCGACGCTCTCGGTGTTGGTGGTGGTGGTTCGCTCATTGCTGGAATTGCTTGCTTGCTCGCACCCATTCCGTTCATCTTCTACAAGTATGGAGGTCCCATACGCGAGAAGTCAAAGTTCGCGCCGACATCGACCAAGACTACAGAGAAACCGAAGGAGCAGATTCCAGCAGAAAACGAAAATCACAGCAACAGCGACACAGATGTCTCTCGCGCTCCGTCGCACACCATGGAAGAAATCAAGCCCGAGAACAGCGAGACGCCATGAGTGCGTGCGTAATGTATATACCCCAGAATTCATCCTCATCTTTTTACTTCACCAATTGATTATCCCGCACAACGGCCGTGATCATCGCTCAGGATTTCTTGCAAAGAGATGTTGCCAACAGAACACGTTCATCAGCACTGACCTCTAATTACTCAACCATAGTGGACATACACTCCGGTTCCAGAGCAACCACTGCGTCGGGGTTCGTTTGTGGATTCTTGCCTATTGCGACACACGCGAGTCTGGGGATGGCCAAAGCTTGACCTTCGAGGGTCCACTCCTCATGAAGTTGCAATATAGCAGCGCTTGTTACTTGACACTAAAGAGTGAGAAGCCAACTCGTTGAGGATCCTTCGCGATTCTGACCTCTGAGTCCGTGTCAGGTCGGTTATTTTCGACAATATACATAAGCGGCTGATTTCAACATGTTCTTTGTACCTGACTTCACCCACTGTCTATTACCAGTCATCAAAGCTCAAATTTGACACACATCATGGACACCATCATTCCATCCGCTGATACAGCCTTTGGCCGTTCAGATGGTATATTGAAGTCGATGAGCACCGTGGTGACCGAAATCATCGACAGTATCGACATCGATAGCCCGCCAGCACACGCCTTGGCCCTTTCCAACATGGAGCAAGCAAATCCTCGTGGTTACACACGGCCTATGTTCTTCTTCGAGACTCCTCACGGTGTTGATCAGATGAGAGTTGTTCAGATCTTCCGCAAAGCCCTTGAGCCAACCCTACAAGCCATTCCTTCCCTTGCTTGCGAGATTGTGCCGGTCGATGATGGAAAGTCACCCACTGGAAGAGTCGCTCTCAAACACGGAGGATTTGGCTCCTTGATTGTCAACGACCTCCGAGGAAAACACTTGTCCTATGAGGAACTGCGCAAGCAAAAGTTCCCTCAATCTCGACTCGAATCTGGCGTACTTTGCGCTCGTGGTGTCTTCCCCATGCCTGGCGAAAGGCAGCCAACGTTCATTCCCCAGCTCAACATCATCAACGGAGGCTTCATCCTAGCCTTCTGCACTCATCACACAACTTATGACGCGCAAGCTATCAACGAGATTCTTCGAGTTTGGGCCCAAAATTGCCGACATATCCAAGATACGGCCGTCACAAGATGTAGCAGCCTTCCTGCCGAACAGTTCGAGAGATCTGCTCACATCAACAGTGGTGAGCCAACAGCAGCAATGGGCCGTCCCGAGCATCATCCTGAGTTCATTGTCGCACCATTTCAACTATCGTGGCCCGAAACGGCTTTTAGAGATACACACAGACAACGCGTTTACCGTCTTTCTCCCAAAGCGCTCGCCGAACTCAAGAATGACTGCACTGAGCCTGGAGATTCTTGGATCTCAACCAACGACGCAGCCACTGCATTGATCTGGCGCTCTGTCATTCGCGCTCAAGCCGACTTTGATCAACTTCCTGAGGATGCAATGTCTCATCATATCGTTGTTGTCGACCTTCGTCTTCGCTCTGATCCTCCTCTGTCGAAGCAATATCCTGGATGTCCCATGAATTACGCCCGCCCAGGTATGAATATTCGGGATCTCTGCAGCTCAACCAGCCTCGCTCCTCTGGCACGTGCAATCAGGAACAAAGTCGACAAGCGCACACCCGAATACACGAAATCTCTTATCACACTTCTCAACAACATCCCTGGCTATGGCCAAGTTGCTTGGACATCGTTCCCCTCCCTCCTCACAACTGATTGTATGACAAGCACGTGGTACAAGCTTGACCTGTTGGACCTGAATTGGGGTCCTGCTATTGGCCAGATCGAGCGTGTGAGGTATCCAACCGGTGGTCTCTTCAATGGCTTGAGCATGATCTATCCGCAGATCACTAGAGGCAAACAAGAAGATCTAGGTATGGAGATTGCAATTGGCATGGAAAAGCAGCATTTCGAGAAGTTGGACAATGATCCGATTTGGTGCAAGTATGCAGAGACGACTGATCCTGGGTATGATTGTATGTAAACACAGCATGGCACTTGTCATCGAAGTCCTCATGGACGAGCGCCCTCATATTCTGTTCCCCTGGTTCGCTCAAAATGATCATTTCGAATTGTCAATGGTGCCTTGGTCAAGCTTACGACGACACACGAACGAAATGTGCGGTGACCCAATCCGGTCTTTCCCGAGCTTCTTCCGCAACCCGCATTTCCACAAACACAACAACTTACTTCCTTTCCTTCCTTATCAATACCGAAAAACACCTCCAACTCAACTTTTCCAGATCTCTCAGCCTTGCAACCTTGCGACAAAGATACTCACAGACCATGTCAGCGCCAGTTCCGCAAACCACAAACTTCGCCGTCAAAACAAAACGCTTGATCTTGCTACCAACTCCTCTAGCCATAGACAATGAAGCGTATAGATCTCTCTATGCCTCTCTGCACCGCATGCCAGAATTCACAACCATGGCTTTCGGCGAATCCTGGGGAACCAAAGATTGGACCACCTCTTCCGTACGAGAAATCATCGTCCGCGAAGTCGCCAGATCTTGGAAGGTCAGAGGGATGGGCGATTTCGCCATCGGTCTACGCTCCGAACACCAGAACCTCGAAAATGATGATGATGTCAGAGAACATGGATTCAAGATTGTAGAGGCGGAGGTGCAGAGGCTGGAGGACGTGCGATGGATAGGCTATGTGGGGATCAGGGATGCGACTACCACATCTATGCTTAATGAGCTCACTGCTGTTCCTTCGATTCGTGGATGGCAAGAGATGGTTGAGCTACGGTATGGATTTCACCCGGATGCTTGGGGTAAAGGGTTTGGAACTGAAGCGGCAAAGGCGGTTATGGGCTGGGGACAGCAAGAAAAGGGAGTACAGAGGTTTATTGCTGAGACTGAGAGAGAAAACAAGGGTAGTGGAGGCGTGCTGGGCAAGTTAGGGTTCACGGAGATCGATGAGAGGACAGAGATTGTCTGGGGCATGGAGGGTACGAAGGAGTGGGAGAGAGGAATCTGAACGAATGGGAAGAAGAATTGTCCCGTCAAAAAAGTCTAGTTGTCCAACTTCCGTAATGTCCTGTCCCAGACGCAAGAGAGAGCTGCAAATGCTCGATTGCTTCGAAAGTGAAGGCGGGAAGGCAAGAACGCATGAGTGGTAGTCAAAGAACGAGACGGAAAAGCGAAAGAGCTTGATTGCCAAGCGAGGATACAGGTCTGTGCTTCTTGCGACTGACCCAGGCAAAATCAAATCTCACCAACATCACCGTCTTTTGTCGATTCTTTCCACTCCCTGATAAGAGCGAGCAACATATTCATTGCGAGCTCTGCTTTTCCGAGCCATGCGACGTCCTCTGCAACGAGCCCAAATGCTCGCCTGTCACCCACCGGAGGTCCCGGACCTCCAACATGAACATTGCGGGGTACCCGTCTCTCGCCTCCCTTGAAACTTGCCGGGACTCGACTTTCAAGTTGCGTTTCTATGTCGAAAAGGCACATGATATATCAGAACGGCGGACGGCCCACCGGAGGAATAAGATGCTCGCCTTATTGACACCGGAGGCCATGGGCATGTCATTGTCATCATACTCCTATTAATGCACCATCAAGTTGACACCTGCTTTCCTTTCTGCGTACCTTATCCTTTGAAGTTGTATATCATCTTTGTATCTCAGATATGGCTTACCCTCAGACCTCGTTCATTCATACCTCCCTCACGCCAGACACTTTGCTTGGGCAGCGTCGGCAAGCTGTTTCAGTAAACACTTTACAGTACCAGCTCGATGTACTCAAAAAGACTGGCCGCTACGACGCTTTCAAGTTGAAATGGCACCCAGTCTACGACCGCGCCCCAGAGGTCTGGCCAATTCCTGACCACCTTTTCTGGGACTCCGACGTTGCCAAGTGGATCGAAGGTGCTTGCTATTTCTTACAGCAGCAGTCGATGCCAGCTATTGCAAAGGCAGTCGACGAGTTGGTCGACATGATTCGATCGGCCCAGCAGCCTGATGGCTACCTTAATATTCACTATACTGTCGTTGATCCTGGGAATCGCTTTACGAATCTGAAGGACATGCATGAGCTATACAACTGTGGACATTTGATTGAGGCTGCTCTAGCACACCAAGCGCTTTGCCGAAACGATCAATTACTGAGTCCTATCTGTTCATATGTGGACCTCTTGTGCAAGATCTTTGGACCTGGACCGGATCAGACGCATGGCTACCCTGGTCACCCTGAGATTGAGCTTGCTCTTCTCCGACTCTACGACCGTACCAAGACTGAGCGTTATTTGTCGCTAGCAAAATACTTCATCACAGAACGAGGCAATGCGACTGGTTGTGACGGAAGACACTACTTCGATGTTGAGGCGGAGAAGCGCGGAGCAGATCCCAATATGAAGCCTGCCTTTTACCCTGAGCCTCGTTCTCTATGGTATCATCAAGCGCACAAGCCCATTGCTGAACAGACTACTATCGAAGGTCATTCTGTTCGTGCCATGTACCTTTTGACAAGCGTTGCGGATCTGTTACGTCTTGAGCAAAGCCACCATGATTTGGAAGCCGCAACGTACAGACTCTGGAACAACATGGTCAACCAGAAGATGTATTCAACAGGAGGTATAGGGGCAATGAAACAGTGGGAAGGCTTTGGATTGGATTACTTTCTTCCGCAAGGAACATCTGAAGGAGGTTGCTACTCCGAAACCTGCGCAGCAATCGGTGTTATGATGCTGGCCCAGAGAATGCTGCAAGTATGTGTCAATTCGAGACTAGAACGACGTGTAGCTCGACTGACTATCGTCATAGATTGATCTGGACCGGAAATTCACCGACATCATGGAACTTTGCTTGTACAATGCCGTCCTAACTGCAATGTCTACGGATGGCAAGAAATTTACATACATCAATCAGTTGGCGTCAAGCGACAAAGACCTTTCTCAGCGAGATGATTGGTTCACTGTAGCATGCTGTCCGGTAAAAATTTCCCAGAGCCAACATTTTAGCATCAAACTAACCATGCTTGTGGAAACAGCCAAACATGTTGCGCTTGCTAGGAACTATTGGCGGATACATCTGGACTTACAACGCCATGGCGGAATACAGATCTGCGCATATAGACGTACATCTTTATGTAGGCGCTAAGCTCACATTCGACTGTGGCAGCGACATTGTGGAACTCCAGCAGGAGACCAATTGGCCTTCTTCGGGAGACGTCAAGTTCAGCTTGCGCTCCAAGTCAGCAAAAGTCGACATTCGATTGAGAATTCCTGGTTGGGCAGAGTCTTGGAAGGTACGAAGACTGCTCTTGTGATTCCCATGAATACCATGCTGACAAAGCCAGATCACACCCGAATGTGCTGATGCTGAAATGGAAAAGGGCTATTTGAGGATTCGCTCGAACTGGCTCGAAAAGAACCCGGACTTCACGCTTTCAATACCACTCAAGCCTCGTTTGCTGCTGTCACATCCCTTGACTAATCAGAACACCCTGACAATTGCTAGAGGACCTGTGGTATACTGTGTTGAGGATGTTGACAACGCTTGGGTCGACGATCATTTCGAGGTGAGTGCTCTTGATTTCAGTCGTACCGTTTGATCATTGACACTATTACAGAGCGTTCTATTGAGCGCAGAATGCAAGATCACGGAGGAAGAGGTGCATGACCCAAAATCAGGGATTTCGTACGTCGCTCTCAACGTCACCAAAGGAGCTTCTATCTTGGACACTGAAGCTTTCGAGGAGACACCGTTTTTGACCAACGACAAGTTGAGCAAAGGGAAACCACTACAAGAGCTGAAATTCGTTCCATACTACTCCAGAGCCAATCGTGGTGGCAAAGGACATATGCGTGTAGGATTGAAGAAGACTGATTGATGTGTAGCGGTTTGCGCACAGCATCTTCGTGTCTCCCTCTTTGCTGGCTGTAAAGGTCGCCACATGTAGCCATTATGCCAATTCACTTTTGGTTTTCATATTCTAGTTCGTCTTATTCTTACTATGACAACAAACCCATCGTTTGATGGAGGGGACGATTTGCAAGAGTGGCCTGCGTGCTGAGGCGTCGAGTCGCTCTTAACATCGCTTTACCTCGGTAATCCTGAACGTTAAAGTTACTCCTCCGGAGGGGTAACAACGCACAACGCCCAACACGTCTAGACTCTAGACGCTTGATACTTCGGCGCACTCGTATTACGGAAAATGTCGAATCACACGCGTGTATCAATTCTTTGCACCTCTTCCCCGTAGAGGACCTTTGTCCTGCATATGTTCCTTACGCTCCGGACCCCAGCATCGACCCTTCGGAAGCCACGTCTCATCCATGATCGATGGCTGATAGCGCCGGCAGAGAGAAGCCGCTGTCATGCCAGGTCTGCAACAAGAGCTTTGGGCGTTCTGAGCATCTCAAGCGCCACGTTCTGACGCACACGCGTTCTCGCGAGTACCAATGTCGGATTTGCCGCAAATCCTTCTTTCGGAAGTAAGTTGTGATATCGCTGGAGTTGAGGAAACTCGAGTGTCGTGGGGGCTTTGCTGTGACACACAGAGCATTCTCACAGCTTTGTCAATACAGAATGAATGCACGCACTCAGCTTCGCGCGACTGACAAATTCCAGAGATGCCCTTTCTCGTCATGAAAACACACATCTGACGTCAGGACCAAATCTACTGCAACGAGGAGGCAGAGCTTGTATCGCCTGTGCATCATCCAAAACTCGATGTTCTGGTCAAGTACCTTGTAACAGGTGTCAAAAGCGTTCGTTGCAATGCAATTACCCCGAAGCATCAATCGATCAACAAGGATCACCTGAAGGCCAGCTCAGTGCTCCCTATATAATCCATAGTACGGCCGACTCGAATCTCTTCATCAATGTCCCTCCCCAGAATATTCCAGACAGCGCGATGGTTCAGACGTCGCATGGAACGCCCGATCTTCCACGGGTAACAGCCTCGACAGTGAACTACCAAAACATCACGCAGGATCAGACGAATCACGCGGACCAGTATCAGCAGGGTGTCGATGTAACTTTCAACTCCTCGCTCATGCCCAATATCTATTCCACGATCAACTGGCTGGGCTACGAGGAGGGCAATAACTTTGAAGGGGGACCGGAACAAGATTGGCAGTATCCGGACCAATTGTTCAATTTCTACATGCCTGCCAGCGATACACACAGCATCTCACAAGTATCTCAATCGCCAGCAAACTACAGAGAAGTAGAAACCTCAGCCGGGAGTGATTGTGTGCAGCGCAATGACAATGTATCTACTCCTTGGGACATTGGCACGATACAGACGTCCATAACGGGTGGATCCACTCCGACACCTGGCGAGTTTTATGTGGACGGTGGGACTGCTAGGCTTCCAAGGATGAGGAAGCGAAGGGCCATGTCCACGTATGCGCTCCTCGATAGCCGGAGAAGAGTGTTCTCCATGGCCTTGCCGTCGGATTTGACAGTTCCGACATTAAGCTGGGAGTGGTTTGACGCAAAAGCTTACGCCACTCTGGAGTCACAGTACTTGAACATCTGTGCTTCGAGTACATCGCTTTTTGCGCCCTTCGAATCAGTCAATCTTCCTGGAAAGGCTCCCTTCGACTACCTGTGTACGCTGTACGTGGAACATTGCAATACCGTTGTTCCGTTTCTCCACATCCCGACGCTGAAACTCCGTCAACAACACTGGCTACTGAGTTTGTCCATGGCGGCAATTGGTAGTCACTATCTCAAGGGACAGGAGTCCAATACCTTTGTACTCTCGATGCATGAATTCGTTCGCCGGCTTCTCGTTCTTGCTGGAGAAAGACCCGAGCAGATGTCCCTTGACTTCGTCACACGCTATCGAGTCACTTTGCTGCATGCAATCGGTAGCACATACTGCGGCGACGAGTCTCTGAGATCCCAAGGGCTTGACATTCGATCAAAACTTGAAAGCTACTTTATGGACTATCCAGTACAATCGGAGCCTGCGAGATTGGTTCTGACAGAAGGCATAGAAAGTAATTGGCATCGTTGGAGTGAGAGGGAGTCTGGAATCCGATTGAAACATTGTACTTGGCTCCTTGACTGCATCTGGTCCTTCCAATTCCAGACGCGGACGACTTTGTCTTTTAGCGATGCTGCCATCACGCTTCCTTCCAATGACGAGACATGGAATGCATCAAGCGCTACTGAATGGTCTCAGCTCATGCAAAAGAAAGAAGATGGGACAGATCTACTTACAGCCCTTGATACATTGTACATGTCGAAAACAGTACCCGCAAGTTATGGCGAGTTCTCTCGTGTGCTCCTGATATATGGCCTTCATCGTCGATTATGGGAAGTTGAAAGCTACTACAGTCAGGTTTTATCGCATTGGAGACCTGGCAATCAACAGGGTCCTGGAGCTGGATGTCTCCCAAGTCGTCCTATATGGCCTCCATCGCTGGTGGTATTCAAGCAATGGCAGAATCTTACTTGTGACAGCTTGGATGTATTACATTGGACGGCAAACGCGACCATCGGTGAAGCAAGTGGATTTGAACACACGACAGTCTTACATCTACACCTTGCAAGGGTAACGTTACTTACCCCGATCCGTGAGATTGTCAATCTTGCAAGATACCTGGCGGGTGAGAAAGGTTCCAAGACAGAATCTGAAATTACTGCGGACCGACAAGCTGTGCAGAGATGGGCATTCCAACATCAATATAAAGCCCGTCTAGCATCCATCCACGCTGGAGTAGTCTTCTGGCATGTGAGGAGATTCTCAGCAAACGCCTTCTACGAACCAACAGCGGTAGCACATGCAGCATTGGTACTTTGGGCTTTCAGTGCGTTCTCGTCAAAGACCGCGGCACCGGTCGATTCTTCGAGCAGTCGCGACAGCTGCTCTACCTCCAGAGGTGCAACTGCTTTAGCAGAAAATGACAGCTCCGACAGCGAAAGTTCATCCGATACTATCATCTTGCTCGATCGTCCTGCAGACGACGAGATTGTGCAGGAGTTCGTGATGAATGGTCCTCGTATGAGAGCGAACATGACAGGAGTTGGCGATTTGTACGGCGAGAAAGGTCCTGAACGCGTTCTGAGGGAGGGTTCAAAGATATTGAAGACGCTCGGTTGTTGGCGTGTTTGGGAATCGTGGGCGAAAGTACTGGACCGACTGACAGGAGTATGCAAACGGGAGCGGAAGAGAGCGAGAGTCCAGACAGGACAAGAGCTCACCCATGTGATCCCAACAGTCACAGCCGCCGAGAATGTTGAAGAGTGAGAATCAATCCATCATCTTCAGATCCGATCTTGAGTCCCGCGTTCTATCATGTTGCTGAACACCTAGCTGGTTGAAGGGCAAGCCTCCGGGGGAGCATAAGACACGATGCAGGATTGACCACACCAGACCCGCAAAGTCTCGTGGTCCTAGAGGGCTCCCCTATTACCACTGCGTAATGTCACCCTCCGGAGCCAGAGCCCCGGAGGGGTCGACGGGACTGGGTTTGCCGGATGTTAATTTTGCAACCACATGCGGGGAAGCCGTTCGGACGAACCACTCACTAACGGCAAGCCATCACCTGAGCCCTCAGAAGACGACTACACAGACACAAATGGGTCTCGCACTCCTCCACACCTGACATGAGGTGTTCCGGGGGGTGATTCAATGCACAATCTATAAGACAATACCACAAGTATCTGAGGAAATGATCACCATCATAGCACAACAACCATCATATTTGCATTCCAATCATGGCTTCTCACGGCAATGTGGTTCATGAGGCAGCAACCTCAACAGCCAACATGGAAACCTCAGAGTTCCGCGATCTCATCACGCAGGCGCAAGCCAGTGCTGATGCTGACTCGAAATTGTCTGTTATGGAGGCGCTCAAGAAACACAAGAAAGCAGTGTTCTGGGCCATGATCCTCTCGACCAGTCTAGTCATGGAAGGATACGACTTAGTCATCGTAAGGGATTCCCTTATTTGCCCCTCACAAAACCTTTCACTCACCTCTCTATAGATCAACTCGTTCTATGGCCAACCACAATTCCAACGGAGATTTGGTGAGAAAGTCGGCGATGATAAGTGGGCTATCTCAGCTGCTTGGCAGTCTGGACTATCCAATTCGGCTGTTGTCGGTCAGTTGATTGGCCTGGTTTTGAACACCGAGTTTCAGGATTCCTTCGGATCTCGTAACACCATGATGTTCTTCATGGTTTGGCTGATTGGCGCGATCTTCATCCCCTTCTTCGCTCCTTCTCTGCCTGTTCTTGCAGTCGGAGAAGCTCTTTGCGGCATCCCATGGGGTGTTTTCCAGGTATGTGTTCTGCACTTCATTGTCACGACTAGAACTAACCATCGATCAAGACTCTTTCAACATCATACGCATCTGAGGTTGTACCGACTGTCCTTAGACCCTACGTTACTGCCTATGTCTGTATGTGCTGGGGTGCAGGCATCCTTCTATCTTCCGGTGTCGCACGAGCGTGTATCACTCTCAATGGAGACACCGCTTGGAGACTGCCATTCGCACTACAATGGATGTGGCCTGTGCCTTTATTTATACTCGCATACCTTGCTCCCGAGTCGCCCTGGAACGCCGTAAGACGTTATAAGATTGATCTGGCAAGAAAGAGTCTGCAGCGTCTGGTTGGCAAGAGCCACGATCAAGCTCATGAGGTCGAGTGCAGCTTGGCATATATTGTCTATACCACCGAACAAGAACAAGCCGAGACAGAGGGAGCTAGACTCATAGATTGTTTCCGTGGCACCAATCTCCGCCGAACTGAGATTGTGAGTACAGATTCTCTCCGGTGCGTCAAAAGAGATTTCTAACATCTCACTAGAACTGTGTCGTTTGGGCCGCCCAAATCCTTTGCGGTAACGCTATTCTCGGTTACAGCGTCGTCTTTCTGGAAGCTGCAGGCTTCAGTCCTGTCGCAGCGCTTGATCTGAACATTGGTCTTTCTGCTTGCTACATCGTCGGCGGCATGATTTGTTGGCTTCTATTCCCTCGCTTCGGTCGAGCTACGATCTACATGACTGGTCTGACTTTCATGTTCTTCTGCCTCGTCGCAATCGGTGGCCTTGGATTTACTACCAGCAAGCATGCTGAGATGGCTATTGGTATCCTTCTTATCGTCTCTACACTTGCCAACATGATCACCATCGGACCGGTCTGTTACCCAATTGTAGCAGAGACACCTTCTGGAAGACTTCGATACAAGACCATCACCATCGGAAGATTCGTGTACAATTTGACCGGCATTTTCTCCAACAGCGTTACACCTCGGATGATATCTTCATCGGGTAAGCATTCCCACTCCCCGCTGCGGCTTCGAAACGTCAGACTGACTCCTTCAATCACAGCATGGAACTGGGGAGCCAAAGCAGGTCTCTTCTACGCCGGCACAAACTTGCTCTGTAACATCTGGTGCTGGTTCCGCCTTCCTGAGACCAAAGACCGCAGTTTCGGCGAGATTGACTTGCTCTTCGAGAACAAGGTTCCGGCTAGACAATTCAGAACTACTGAGGTCAACCGTAAGTTGTGATCACTTGTGTTGGGAGTCTGAGTCACATATGCTAACCAGTGTTTGTGCAGAATTCTCTACCAACCAGATGATCCTCGAGATCAAGGAGAAAGAGAGTGCTGTCCATGTCGAGAGGGTCTCATGATTGTTAGGCTCAGAATATCTTTGCGCGCGTCAACACGGGTTATTAGTGGGGGCCTGAGCGACCCCTTCCACAACATGCTGTTTCACCTTCAAAAGATGGGTGTTGGGCAAATGTGTTCAATGTAACATTCAAACTCGAAAGATTATGTATTCAGACAAGCGATTGTTGTGATTTGCCTACGATCGCGAGATCCGATAATCACACCTTCGTAGCTACATATCTGGGTGGGTATCTCCAAGTGACGCCTAATGTTGTCAGTGAGCGGCTGTGAAGGCATGCAGGTGGGGTTGACCGACTCATCCAGAACCGACGACACTACCAAAAAGAAACACCGGAGGCTTATTACTGAACTTAGGCACGTCCGCCATGATAGCTCCGGCTTCAGGCCCCTTGAACGCCTCTTCCAGCCGCTCCGCCGACTTCCAAAAGACGTCCGAGCCAAAGGCGTACAGTGGTGCAGAGCCGTCGGGTCCGGGAGCAAATTCCCTGACGTTCCAGCCGGTGACGCCATATTTGGCCCAGTCCTTGAGGATCAATGGCATGTGGTGTTTAGTGTAGTATTCGATGTCATATTGGGCATTAGCGTCATTGGGAAAGACGACGGTGACGATAAAGGACATTTGATTGAGTGGTTCAGGAAATGAAGAGAAGAGGTAGCTGTGATTGTTGAATTTACTTCTGCGTCTTTGACGCAAGAGCGACAGCTTTATATCCCTTTCTAAAGATCTTGTAATAGTTGTAAAGGGCAATGTTTGGAGTGCTCGGTTAGGGCTTATGTCAACACTCATCTGGCTCGGGCCGAGAATGTTTTCGGCCGAAGAAGTGTGACGGATGAACACTTTTCCCCTTGCTGACTAACGACATCACAATCTTTGAGTTTCGAAAAGTCTTCAGTCTTGCTTCTTGTTATGTTGAGCGAGGTTTGTAAGGGTTGTCCTAAATCCAAAGCAATGTTCGATCTCGCCGACAACGAACAATCCCAAGTTCTTGCACGCAGGTTCGTTACTCGTCGTCTAGGTAGCAGAGAATCAAGCGTTGGGTATGTCATCCCTCTACGTAGATTGCTGAATTGGATCGCACTGCAGAAGTTCTCCGACAACATCAGCAGCTTCAGCAATTATCACTCTTGTGATTTGGTCAAAATGTTCTCGGTCGGTAGCGAGCGAACGTAATCTATCCAGCCATAAACGCCATCTTTCTTTCGTCAGACCGTCTTTTCGCGGCCACAGTTCCGTTTCCTCCTCGATTGCTGCAGTCCAATATCTACGCAAGGCTTCAGAGTCTGTCTCCCACAATGTTTGCGCTCCGTCTCGCAGCCAAGTAGCCGTGACACGAACATCCAGCGCCCAAAGCTGGTCAGACGAGATCCTGTGCGGTCCAGCCTGTTGAGGTTTGGCTTCGCTGCGCTCAAGCACGTCGCGACAGGCGTTGAAGACACACATGGTAAGTGCTTCTTGACGTTCAGCGTTTGTAGCTTTCAATTCGGCGGCGGAGAAGTTGCAGAAGCGAAGGAAGTACGTAGCGACCGGACAGTCTAGACTTGGGGCTCCCGAAGCCCGCACGCCATCCCAGTCGCGCCAGGCCTCGAGAATATCATATGTTTCGCGCCACTGGCTGTGATAGCCTGGCAGTAAAGACCAATGGATTCTACCATCTCGTTGGAGATGACTGCGAAGGTAGGATTCAATGTTGGACCCCAAACGGACATTGGCGGGCGTGGTGGGGCTTTAAGCTTTTAGATGGCCCAGAAAGATGAGGAGAGCAGAATGTGAATCTGGATGGGTAACGACTGTGGTAAAGAAAGCATCCCAAAGTTCGTACAGCTTTGTGTTCGGATCGGAAGACACCGTGACGGTCTCAACAATCTGGTCAGCTATCTCGTCCAGGGCGCCTAAAGATGTCGAAGTGAACACGGAACTGAATGTGACCAGAAACGGGTTTGGTGGGTTGTCACCGGGGATATCGAGAATGCTTGTCATGTCAAATGCAGAGTTGATCACCGACCCGAAGTGTGCGGCGGGTCGAAGGCGACGTCAATTTCGGTGAGAGCCAACAGAGCCCAAGTCCCGCATGATGAGTCACCTAATGCTAGCAATGTATCAGGTGCGAGCATATGCATGAGACAAGGCCATTCGTGCTTGTGCAACATGTTGGTTGGGCAGAAATGAGCGAGGGAGCAGACGTGGTGAAAATCCCGGGCGCAGCTGCCTTGCGTGCATCCCCACAGTCTTGCCGATCCTGGCTACCAATACGCCAAGCATCAAGCTCATTGTGTCATCCGTTGACAGCCTCTATCTATCGTCTTCTCATTTTTTACTTGGACCGACCATGGTTGACCTGCAAGAATGGATTCAGACCCGCGCTCAACGAGTCCGAAATCCTTCGCGCCGAAAGCCCGACATGGAGACAGAGTCCAACAAAGCCGATAAGCTCGAGCGACAGCTTCAAGAGGACAACCACAAGACGTGGGGCTGGGTCATCTACCGCTGCACCTATTCAAGCGACAAGGACTGGATGAGTTTCATGTCGCGCCTCAACTTCCACATCCAGGAGTCGTTGAAACTGCATAATGGACTTGACATGTTGGAGAGCCTTGACCATCACGTTTTGGAGGATAGAGCTCTGTTCGAAGCTGCAAACCCCATCACGGTGCGCGAGCATTTTAGGGAATGGGTGCAAGATGCTCCACAACGCGAGCAAGGAGGTCCGGCAATGCGATCTCAGCGGTACAACTTTTGCGTCCACGTCGATGAAGAGGCATTGCAGTCCGTTATCTCTGAACCACCTCCGCCGACAGATCTACTGAGCACAGGCTATGTCAACCTGGTCTGTTTGGAGATGCTGGGAGGCGTTCGGGCTGAATTCGAAACTGGGCAACGGGAGCTTGATCGTTGTTGGATGCGCGTCACCTATCAGCATCTCATGCCCACGTGGTACAACCATTTCCGAACACAAGGCTCTTGGTCCACCGAATATCGGGCACCGCCTCAGGTTGCGACTCCCTGAATGCTCTGAGGATGCGTGTTTATAGTGGGCCAGAGGACGGTGGGCTCGAAAGTCATGTCGTGAGCTTCCTGTGCGTATGCTGTGCGGACGAAGAAAAGATCCCTTGAGAAAATTCATGGTTGACCGTAACTGGGCGACACCTCGCCCGACGGTTCGGGCAAAAATGGGCTGAGATATGACCGCGACACGAACAAGAAGACCTCTCTTTTGTAAAACCGAACGCAATGTTGATTCAGGTTCAAACTTGCTATCCTTCTAGCTGCCTCGATACTCTATCTGGAATCTACCCGGCCCTCATGACAACCAGCCATCGATGGGTGACTTTCTCCTCGGACTTAAATCACTCCCAACCACAAGCCTCAATTGCTCAATCTCCTTCTCAAGTTGCTGGATGTACCCACTGGCGGCAAGCAGGATTTCTGCTTTGCTAGGCTTAGGAATTTGACCTGCTCGCGCCGGCTGAAAAGTCTCAATATGTGGGACTGCACTAGCCAGTTTTCGAAAGTGGGAAGCAAGGTTGTGGCGATAGCGTTGCTCTACTTCTGTGTGGGTTGAGCGACCCCGACGCCGCCCCCTGGTGGCTTTGTTCGGAGAGCCAGGGGCTTCGTTGACAAAAGCAGTAGTGTTGTCGAGTTCAGGGTACGCAGGCTCTCGAATAAGTGGAGGAGGTGTCAGAGGAAGAGGCACCGTTGGTTGTGGGGCGCGGATGGGTGACGTGTGTTGGGATGCAAAGGTTTGAAAACGCTTAGTTTGCGTTGTGCAAGTGTTGTTGTATGCAGCAGCCAGCAGGGAATCAATGTCGCAGTAGCCAGTCATACTGTTGATGCCAGCATCTATTGAAAGTCTGCTTGTGCGTTCATCAAGAGTCTCGCAAGAGTTCAAGCTATGATTCGTGTAAGGCAAGACAGGCATAGACTGTTGATGACGTAGCCGAGGTCTCAAAGGCTGCTTTTGCGACGCTGTATATGTGTGCGCAGGTGTGTATATATCTTCGGGACTCGGGTAGCCGAATTGCGCATAAGATTGCAACGGAGGCGAGAATTGTGATTGGAAGGCTCTCTCGAAAGGATCGTTCGGTTCGCTAGCATATCCTGAATCTTGTGGCATAGGCGACGACACCTGGAAGGCGGAAGCATTGAACTTGCATGGTTGTTGACCATATGAATCCATTGGAAGAAAGTTCATGATGGCAATGTAAAAAGCAGAGTAGAAGGTATGTAGTAGACTCAGGGAACGATGATGATCTTTTCCAAACAGAGAACCTCAAGCTGCTTTATGTGTTCTGAGATCCATATCTGAGGAGAGCTATGATACTATAACGGTTTATGATCGTGACCGAAATTGTCTTCTCAATATCGCATGCATCCTGATTGTCATGACTCAACCCGTTGTATTGTTTTGCTCGAAACAGCTTGAGCCGCTGCTTCTGTGGCGGCTTCTTGAGTGAGTTCCGGAGCACCACTCATGAGTGCATGTCTAAAGCATCCGCCGACTGGCTGACATGACTAGAATGAAGCTGCTAAAGCCATAGCCAGGTAGAGCACCTACCGTAGCCGATGTGGGATTCGACTTGAAATCTGGTCCATGAGGCAGAAATCCGAATCGGCCTGCACTGATCTGGCATATCATTGATCATCTTAGCAATGGATGTACACGAGGCTGCGAAATGTTGTAGTGAGGCTTGATGAACACGAGTTTGTATTCTTAATCCTTCGGCCTCCCCGAGGTGCAGCAGTCGTTTCAACGGTCGGCTGTTATAGGGCTATACCGACGCAGCTGAAGTACGCCACAAGCAAATATATCCGGCGTTCGGTGCGCCTAGACTTGCCATAAGCAAATCACCATTATCGAGGTGTATCACAGTTGAGAATTCTGTTTGATGACCATCTCGTCTTTCCACAGTCAAGAGATTGCGATCACGATCCGTAATGCTGAGCGCGCAAAAGCAAAATCAGTCAATTCTATGCTATAATGTTTGAGAGTGAGGCTTTGACACAAACGCTTCTCCTCGACTCCATGTTTTGAAGAAGGTCCGTTTCAAATGATGGCTTAAAACGGTCTGTCGTTCCACGCAGGCCGCATGCCCAGCCGCAACAGAGAACCATGGAAGTCGCTGTCGATCTCCGATTGGGTTTGCGATATAAGATGACCACCATAGTACGATGCAGACATGCGATGCAGAAGTTGTCCAGTCTATCAGAGCCATCTCCCTATTCCAGCCCGAGGGCGCTACAATTACGGTCTTCTCAGCTGTCCACATCAACCACAAAGTCCTCGCCCAGGCTGTCCTTCAATCTGTTCATATGCTACCATCGCCGATGCATCCTTCTGTTTGAATAGAGTGGAGATGCCGATAGGGAATTAAATGCCATAGCAATATCGCATGCGCCAGATCCCCATGTGCTGCGCTAGAATTTATAAAACCGCTACGCAAGAGAAACCTACACTTGACTAGACAGGCGATGAGATTACTACTACATGCGAATGCGCAATCTTGGTAGTGTAGTATCATGATACCTTAGTATAGAGCAAGAAAACTAGCAATTGGTATGATGCTTTGTTAAAAACTAGCAATTAGTATGATGCTTTGTCCTATAGCTCGTATTATAGAAGTCTTATAACGCTACGGTCTATCCTAGGAAGGACTCTACTTACTATATAGCCTAGCCTACTCTTCGGCTACACCTACCTTAAGTATATCGCCTCGGGTTAGAATCCTTACGACGAAGATAGCATTATTTATAACTCTTGTCTCTACGTCTATGGACCTAGGAGTGTAACACTTAACGCTTATCTAAGGACGACTAAAGATATCTTATAACCCTTTATTAATTTCTAAAGTCCAAACTAGTATAGGAGTAGTCGTAGGAGCGGTCGTAGGAGATGTCTAAAAGTGATAGAAGTATACAAGTAGTAGGTAAGCAAATAGAGCTCTTAAAACGCGTATAGAGCACGCCTCTATACCTTGCACGAGTTAACTAACTTATCGAATTAGTTAGAGGGGTAGCTACATATATACTACGTTACGTCGAATTTTGTTATAAGATCCCTACTTCTTAATTAGTAAAGAACCCCTATAAGATCGCCTTATAACCCTACGGTTCTCTATATGAGCGTAGCTAAAAGGAATATAGAGATAATTAATAGATGCTACTATCTCTAGTTAAACAGATTCGTAGAAAATCTAGGAAATATCATCTATTATAAATATTACTATGCTAAATATAACTACTCTCTACGTTAACTACCTTGGCGGCATTGAAGCGTCCTATTAATCTTCTAGTCTAGACCCTTCTAAACTAACATTAGTACTTATAAACTCCTTTACTATATCTTCTAAACTATATAAAACTTAATATGCTAATAAAGACCTTATAAGCAAGATGAATCTCCTTACTATAGAGCTTCTTAGCTACGGACAAATACGTTATAAGCTTAGTAATTAGACATACTAGGACACTACATACATAAACATCTAAGTGCTCTAAGAATTAGAGAAGTAAGGAAAGATTAATTAGAGCAAGGGTGTTTTCGTCCTAGGCACTAGTTAAGGAGGATAGATTACTATCCGTATAGCATTGCTAGCTCCTAATAAGGTAGAGCGCCTTTCATTAGAGAAATTATTTACTATTATAATCATTTACTAACGTTCTAGATATCGGGTATTATCCTACTTGGCACATCTCTCGACTTTAAATCGCTAAAGACCTATAAACTAAATTGTTAGGACGCGCCTAGAGACCTTACGCCTATAATCGAAAGCTAGAGTAAACCTATAAGCGACGACTTCTACCTAGGTAACGACTTCTCCAATTTTCTTATTAACATCGGATTTAGTAAGGATTATAACAAATCCGTTCGCGACTTTTAGCGTAACGAAATCGTAAACAACTATGTTAGTAACAAAGGTAGAAAGCGTGCTTATATAGCTATAATCAATCTTCGCGATCGTAATAGGCTACATAGAAGATTAGTAGATGTAGTATATCCTATACTATAGCTTTATAGGACTACTAATGTAGTGTACTTAGTAGCTAATGCAGAAAGGGAGATTAAGATATTTATAGATAGTCCTAATGTATAGCTTAAGGTCATTAAAGGTAGGTAGCACTTCTTATCTTTTAGTTATCTAGAAGAAGTTAATAGTGCTATAGTAGATTTTGTTATAAGGTATGCAAAGTAATAGTATTAGGGTAGTTATACTACTAATTATAGGTTATATAATACATTATAGCGCTTACGTATATAATTTAAGTACAGAATCTATAATATATAAGAAACTTAGGCGGTCTATAAATGTAAAGTGTTTACGTAGTTTTTCTTTACTTATTAAGCTCCCTACCCTCCTACCTCAGTCTCTAAATCTCTTCTATAGTATCTACTATCTAGTAAAACTAACTATTGTCCCTTTTATAGTGCTTAGAGGAATAACTATATACTCTCTCTTAACCTTAAACTCCCTATTAATACTATAGTTCCTAGACATAGCTGTCTAGGCACTAGTATACTATCTTACTTACGCGTTAGGCGTAAAACCATCATTTCCATTAAATATTACACCTATAGCCCTAGTAGCTATATTATAGGTTACTATTAAGAACTTACTAGCATCTAATTCTATATATAAAGCGTTTTCTATAATAAAGATGCGCGAGCGTGCAGAATTAATAGGGGTAATAGTAACGATATTACTGCTCTACGTAATAGTAACGCTAAAACTAGTCTAGCCGCTAAGAGAAATATTGTTAATAGCGATAGCGATAGTGCTTAGAGCATATAGAGCAATATTTACGCTATTATCTCTACTTAAAGGATCCTAAGCGAGATAATTAGGACGAGTATAGAAGCTAGTAGAGCTAAAGCTATTACTACTAATCAAGGTTAAAGGACTAATTACACCGCTATATCCTACCCTTAATATATAGATGTTAGTTAGATATATAAAGAATTATGTAATAAGTAGGAGAGTAGATTACGCGCCTTTATAATAGTAGAAGATACGTTCGATATAGAAGCTATTACTAGATTAACTAGAGTAGAGTAAGTCCTAGAGATCGCAGCCTAAGCTACTATACCCCTAGTAAGGGACTAAAGGCATAATCGCTATAAGTGTTTTAATAGTAGCGTTAGTAACAGAAGTATAATTAAAGTATTTGCTCTAGAGGTAAACCTCTTCTTACGCTATATTGTCCTAAGGAAACTCTAAGCTATAAGGGTAAGGCTTAGAATTCTAGATATCTACGCGCTATTTTATATATGCTTAGATTTCATTAGCTTAGGTAGACAAAGTAGTATTAGTAAGGCCTTTATGCTAGAGATTAAGGAGGACTTATTTAAAGTAACTTCCCTCTATAAGGCTAAATTAAGAATATCTATCTCTACTAATGCCTATATAGTTCCTTATGCTAATAATAGTGTCGTAATAGCGATCTAGGTACTACGACTAAGGTACATTAGTTAAGCTAATATAGTTCCTTATAAGTCTATAGAGCGTCTAGTAAACAACAATAGCATAAGGGTAATTATAAGATCTAGAAATCTTGTTTGCTTCTATAGCGTCCTACGTTCTACTATAATTAATAGTAGGATTATAAATACCTCTTCCCTCTAAAGTAGCATTATAGTAGAACAAACTCTTCTTAATACTAGCATAACTATCTCTATGCTTAAAGATCTAAAGATGTCCCTAGAGTATATAAGTAGCGAATTACTCTAACATTACAATCTTAGTCTTATTAGGACGACTAAGTTACTTTACTACTATAGAGATAAAAGAACTACTTCTCGCTTTGTTAGAAAGACCTACTACCTAGGCTCTTAGGTCGTTAAGGACTTACTATTTCTTCTCATTGTTGTATATAATAATACTAGGACTATAGTAGAAGTAATTAGAAGCATTATTATACTATTACTTAGAGAAGCGGAATTATCCTAGTTTATCGAGTTAGCTAGCGTTAGATTTGTAGACGTAGTAATGTACTATACTAACGTCCCTATTTACGAAGTTTATAGTAACGCGGACTTAGCTATACGATCCTACTCTAACTCTACTAGTAATGGCATAAATTCCTTTTAATGTCTTCTAAGTATTATAGAAGCTAATCTAGGTAGGAGAAACGTTGTAGATTAAGGGTGCATAATTGCTTTTAATGATCATCTTAATATCTTAATTAGTAGTAACTATA